TAGGACAGCAAGAAATTAATTAAACTACAAACAAATCTCTCTTTTTCAAGCTAATTATTTATTGGTCATCCAACGGCCTTCACTTCCACGCCTGTAAGTGATTTTTAGTTTTTGTTTGATTATTTTGCAGATGGTTCCTCTACGAAGACAAAGATTACACCAAACATTCGAAATTTGTGCATACCTTCGCCTCCGCGACCTACGCCTGTGAAAACCTGGATTCCTCTCAGTGGGACAAGGTGGGAAGCATGGGGGGGGGGGGAGGAGGGCAAAATGGGCTGTGTCTGTTGCTTCTCTACTCTCATTTCTTTTCATTCACAACTCTCCTAATCTTATTTTCCATTGACAATTCTTATATTCTCATTTCTTTTGATTCATAACTCTCTTACACTTATTTGTTTTCATTCGCAACTCGCCTACTCTTGATTGCTTTCATTCGCAACTCTTCTTTTCTTATTTTTCATTGAAAACTCTTCTATTCTCATTTATTTTCATTCATAACTCTTCTACACTTAATTGTTATCCTTAACAAATCTATTCTCATCTCTTTTCATTCACAACTCTTCTACCCTTATTTTTATTGACAGCTCTTGTATTCCATTTCTTTTCATTCATAACTCGCCTTCTCTTAGTTCTTTTCATTCGCAACTCTCCTACGTTTATTTTTCACTCACAATGCTTCTACTCTCAAATCTTTTCGTTCACAACTCTTCTGCTCTCATTTTCACCCACTGCATTATCATTTTAAAAATCTCTTCTCTCTTCTATACTGCGAGATTAATAAACAAAAAGGGAGTGGCAATTAGAGAAAGAGAGAAAAAGAGAGAGACAGGGAGAGAGGGCTTGCTTACTCTAAGCTTCCTTTATAACTCCCCTTCCTCTCACTCCCTCTCCCTCCTCGCACCAGGTGTCCTCCGTCCGCTACGCCGGCGTGGAGGACATCACCTTCCCGACGCTGACGATGTACCACGACGCGAACCAGTGCGGGGCCGAGCTGCTGGTTCTGAGGGACATGGACGCCCTTCTCAGCGACTTCAACGACGACGCTTCCTCCTTCGTGGTCACCGGCAACTCCAGCTGGACGGTCTACCAGTAGGTTGTTCGCGGTGCTGGTGTGGTTGACGGGGAGGGGGGGGGAGGAGGAGGAGGAGCATGAAGGGGAGGAGGAAGAGGAGCATGAGGGGGAGGAGGAGGAGCAGGAGGGAATTAGGAGGAATAGCATGAAGGGAGGAGGAGGAACAAGAGGGGGAGGTGGAGGAGGAAAAGACGTATGAGGGGAGGTGGCTTAGGAGGAGCATGAAGGAGAGGAGGATCATGAAGAGTAGGAGGAGCATGAGGGGAAGCAGGAGGACGAGCATGATGATGATGATGAGAAGAGGAGGAGCAGGAGGGGGAGGGGAGGAGCAGGAGGAGGAGGAGAAGCATGAGAGCGAGTGGGAGGAGGAGGAGGAGCAGTTGTTGTTGATTTTGGTTTTGGTGTCGAAGTTAACGATATGTTTGTCGTTCTACTATTGTTGCTATTGATGTTGAAGTTGATGTCGCTGTTTTTGTCATTGCCGTTGCTACTTATACTAATTCTAACGTTTATATTGAAGCTGATGCTGTTTCTCCGATTTGATGTTGTTAATGCTGTTGTTAATGATAGTACTGTTGATACAAATGTCGTTTCAGTTGATTGTCGTTCTTGTTGTTGTTGAACGCGCGTTCTGACCCCAACCCACCGCGTCCGATTCCAGTGACATTGGCTTCGGCGGCGGCAAAGCGTGTCTCGGCCCGAGCAGCAACGGAGGCTGGTACGGCATCTGGACTCCGGAGGAAATCGGGATGCCCAATGATCAGGTGTCGTCCGTGAGGAAGGGCTGCTTTGCGGACAAGGTCTTCACGTACGACCCCTCCTCCGCACGTGGGCAGGAAGGGCGCTGAAAGTAGGTATATCAAAAGGGGGGTAAATGAGAAAAGATTTTCTCTCTTTTGTTTATCTATTTATTTGTTCGTTTGTTTGATAACCGATGGCTTGTTGGATATTGTTTACTCTGTTTTCCGTGAATTCTCAAAATGAATCTTAACGCCTGTAGAAAACATAATAAATAAAGTGTGACTAAAATCCCAAGACTAAAAATACGGAAGAATAACCGATAATTTTTTTCTCTCTCGCTTTCCTTCAACCAGAATACGTCGTGGAGCGTCGACGAAAACACGAGTAAACGACTATGATTTTTCACTCACAAAATAAATGATTGGCACTCAGTTGTCTCTTTTTTATTAACTCCTAAAGAAAGTCAATGTGTGTGTGTGTGTGTTGTGTGTGTGTGTGTGTGTGTGTGTGTGTGTGTGAGAGAAGAGAGAGAGAGAGAGAGAGAGAGAGAGAGAGAGAGAGAGAGAGAGAGAGAGAGAGAGATTTGATTTCATTATATCTAATATATATATATATATATATATATATATAGATATAGATAATATATATATAATATACATACAAAGAACGTCTTTTATTTATAATCCAAAGAAGGGTTTTATTTTCCTCGTGTTGGTGCCCATGTGGCTGCCCTTGAACTGTTTCCAGCTTGTCTATATTTTCCATTTTAAGTGTAAACTCTACACCACTGCATAACACTTCTTATGATGGTTGTAATGATCCTAACGTGTATTGGCATAGGCAGACTTCCCGGAAAATTACAACTTGGAAGTTTTTGAAGGACAACTTCATATGAGTAAGTTCTCAAAGTCCCTCTGGAGGTGTTGGCATGAGAGGTCGTCTATTACCTTTCTTAGTGTCGTCTGCATATTCAGATTGATGGAAATTATTGATAAAAATAGTTAACAAAATCGGGGCTAAGACCAGTCCTTGGGGTACTCCGCTAGTTACTCGTCTCCATAAAGAATGCTTTCCTCTAATTACTGCCTTTCATGTAGGTAGTAGTCTTTTGTCCACTCGAGGAGTTTGGAGTTTGCCGTTCACTCCAGCTCGATGTTCTAATTCCCATACCATCCTTCTGTATGACACCTCAAACTTCCCTATTTGTTTCTACCTCATCTGCCGTTAGTTCCACTGTGGGGTTTTAGTGTCCCCGAGATGGCCATTTTTTTTTTCATTTTAACCGAGATTCCCCTGTTCGGCAGCCCCAATTTTCTTTGTTAATTATTACGAGGATTGTCTTTATTTATCTATACTATTTTAGTTATCTTGATACCCTGTAGTAATTGTTACATTATTGTTAACAGATTAGTAACATTCGACTTTTTCTTCCAGTATTATCTCATTCGTTTGATTTTATTAGTACTTTTTTGTTACAATAATGTCAGCTGTCAGAATCAGCTGTTTTGGGCGGGCAAGTTTAGTCGATGGTGAAACGGGAAATCGAGTGAATGTGTACTGAAAAGTAACACACTTGTGAGTATCCGGAGCTTTCATGAGTATTATAATTATGTTGCTCTGGCTCGTGCGAATCTGTAAGCAAGTGCAATATGCATTATTATTTTTCGCTAATTTCGTCATATTCTGTTAGTATCCACTATGTTTTTTCTCTTAACTACTCACCGGATTTAGTCTATTTTTGAAGCTTTCTTATGGTATCTACTTTGATTTTATTTTATTTCTTATGTTTTGTTTATAATTTGGCTCGATTTTAACCAATTTTCTTTATACTGTCTGTGAGATATATGATAAAGTTGGTAATTTGTATCAACCCTTTTTATTCTATTTTATTTTGGTAATTCATTTCATGTCCACATAGTTGGTGGTAGATGAAGCAATATAATTTTCCATCGGCATACTATAGGGCCTTCTATGACTTCAAATTCCATAACAATGATTCATTTCCTTATTATTTCTTCTTCCACTCAGTTTCCATTTATTCTATCTTTTCTCCAAATATTCTAGTCTTCCCTAATGTTACAGCGCCTATGGAGGGATCCAGTTTGGATTTGGTGATGCTAGAAAAAAAAAAAAAAATACACCAACCAATACTAGATTTATTGGAAATGAGGCAACAGTTTCGAAATCCTTCTGAATTTCGTCTTCAGGTCTGAGAAAGAGAGGGAGAAGAGGGAATATAAAGAGAGAGAGATGAGAGGTAAAGCGGTAAACATAGGGCAAGAGAGAACAGGTGAATGGAAGCGAATGGGGCGGTCGAAGCGAAGGGTGACCGGCACAAGGGAGTAGGCGGAGGATGTTTGAGATGTGTTCGAGTTCAGGAGTTGAGACAGAAAGACCGGTCTCACCAAACTACCACTTATCACAGGGTGTACAATGAGCAGGATAGGTCGCACCTTCGAGAACGAGGGAGGACTGGCGTGAACCAGGTTGCGGCGGAGGGTGTCTACCTGGCGAAAGATAAGCCCGCAGTTGAGAGGGTGAAGGGGGTGACGGAGAGAGTACATCTCAGTTGAGGTCAGGTTGAGAACGAGCAGGCGAAGAGTCTCTTTAAGAGCCTAAGGAGTCATGGCAAGAGGTACGTCACCCCTTGGATAGCGCTACGTCTAGTACATGACGAGCGTAGAGAACGAACGACGCTGGAACCAACCGTTCTCGCCTTCAGGTACTGAGGATCACCTACGGAGGGCGCGGAGGAACAGTGGAGTGGCAACGCCTCTCTTCACATGGAGTGCATGGTACGAGAAGTGAATGTATATCCACTGTGCCTAAATTTCCTGTGTACAGAGAAGTGGTCAGCAGAGCGATGAACTAAGGTGTCCAAGAAAGGGAGCTTGTTGTCAGCCTCCCATTTCATGGGAGAAAGAGAGAGAGGGGACACAGACTCGAAGTACTTTTTGTACAGATTTAGCCAGGATTGGAGAGAGAGGAGAACCCATGTGAACACCGAACGTCTGAGAGTAGAAGCGACCCTCGAAGGAAAAGGAATTGGAGACGAGGATCCTCGGCAAGGAGCTTCCTCTGAAGGAAGGCTAGGACGCCATCAAGTAGGACTTCGGTGAACTGGGAGTCAACATGCAACAACTCAAGTGTGTGTGTGTGTGTGTGTGTGTGTGTGTGTGTGTGTGTGTGTGTGTGTGTGTGTGTGTGTGTGTGTGTGTGTGTGTGTGTGTGCGCGTGCGCGCGCGCGCGCGTTGCGCGCACGCGTACGTGTGCATGCGTGCGTGTATGGAACTTACGCACATGTTAATAGTATATTTTTAATATACTGACAGAAAAGTAATTAGGATTTATACAAATTCGTTATCTGAAAAGGGAGACTAATCCAGTTAATTTCACCTCGAGACAGCCAGACGGAAAATTTAATGTGTAACTCCCGTCTCCCTAATAATTCTAAACCAATATACTGAGAGAAAGTCGAGATCATAAGGTATAACAATAAAAATGGATTAGATATTCCTGTCTACCCCCAAGACTATGTATGTCTTTGGTCTACCCTTAAAACAACCATTTTCTCTCACAAACTCCACAACTGTGCAGTATCATTGAGAAGGCCACAGACGCAGATACTATATAACCATCCAGAAGATAACCAGCTGCCTTATCAGAAAATTGCCCAAATATTCTCCATTTGATACAAAGCTCCCATCAGCAAAGTAGGTCTTGGCAACTGTCATGTCAGTCATCATCATTTTTGGGATATTTCTGTTTCGTATTTCCAGTTACTGATAGATTGATGAATTCAGGGACATTATTCCATGACAGAGGTGTTAGAAGGGATAAAAATGACTTTTTAAAACGTTATAAAAAGCCCTTCTTCATTGCAATGTCGTGTCAATATAGTCATGGTGGCGTTGGCCTTTGCTGAAGCGCCGGCAACCCTGGGCGTTCATTTGGCAGCATTAATCATGAAATTATTTTATTCATATTTTATTTTTGAATTGTCAGTGCTATGTCATGACTTTTTGTTTAATTCATGAATTTGATATTCCCTTTTACTGCTCGTTCTTGTAATACATGTACGTATGGAACTAGAATTTTACTGATTTGTGCTGCAACAGGTGGAAACAGTGTATGTTGCAAGTGCTGCATACATGTATAGATATTTGAGAAACACACACAATTATACACGTTCATATATGTATTATTTTTAAAGTTTATGCTGATGTAACGTCAGAGCCAAATTTTACAGGAATCGAGATGAAGGTTGCGGCGAACTTATCGTTCATGTTTGGAGAAGCAGGAGGCCTTCTGGCGAGGTACAAAGCGGCAAAAGAAGCAGGATTCCAGGCCGTAGAATGCGCCTTTCCCTACACTGTCCCTTCTGAGGAAGTGGCTTCAACCTTAAAAGAACTTGAGTTAAAGCAAGTTCTTATAAATTCAGACCCTGGTGAGTTTGTCTGCAATAATGCTCGCTAATTCTTTCCAGGGCATTTGTTACCAAGAGTGACACACCCTCCAGGGATGAAGTCCTAAAACCAGAATATTATGCGAACCCAAAAACCCAAACCTAACCTCTTTTACTATCTATTATTCTGTAGACAGGGGGACAAAGCCTCCCCCTGTACCCCCCTTTACTAGCACTTGATGCTAACTTATAGAAAATGGTCTATAAGACCTCTGGCTGTGTGAGGTTCTGAACTAAATCTCTGAGTGGTGTTATACAGCAGATATTTTTGTTATTTTGAAGTAAATGTGGCAGCAGCAGCTGTAATCTGTTCTTTATGACAATATTTTTTATGCTCATTAAGATGGTGTCCATTTTCCTCTATCTCTGCATCTCTCTCAGTCTCTTTACAGTATAGACACAATTACCAAAGATTACATCCCCATTTCCACATCACGAAATTTATTCAACAGTCTAAATTGCTTTGACTGGGTATGTCTGAAGAGATGTTTATTGGTAGGACTTTACTCCCCAAAACCCTCCTGGCAAACATTGTCCTTACCTTTCTACGTATAGCAAATAGAGCTGAAACTTGAGAACATTGTGTGGACAGGCTGCAAATGGCTCTCTCCATGAACTTTTCCTTTATTTATGGTTACTGTTCGTGTCTGCAGATTATTTCTTGTATCAACGACTGCATATTCTACAAGAATATAATCAATTAGCCCTAGCTTTGTGCATCCATATTGTGAAGATTAACCTAAAACCAAAAAAAAGTCCTTAAAGAACACTGAAAACCAACATAAACTGTAGGAAACAGTCTACAAAAAGTGAAGCTAGCCTACTTTTGCATATCAAAGATACACCTGCAGAGACACATGTGCTCACTGTAGCCTTGATCATTCCAGCAAAAGGAAAATAAGCTTCCATCATATATATTCTAGCATGAAAGAGCTTATGAACCTCCCTGGTAATATGACATCAAAATAGGAACCATTGCTAGCTCCAACTTCCAAAATATACATGGGGAATTTTTCTTGTTCTTCACCAAAGCAGTCATGGTCGAGAATCTCTCAGCATGAGGTGTCAGCAATTAGGGCAATTGTGCATTGGGTACCCAACAGAATGACTGTGACATTGAATATCATTCATTCACCATTAATTTTTGAGTTTTAACTTTTGTCAGGTGATCCAACACCCTGTGAGGTTGACTAGCCTATGGCAGATGGGTGCAATTCCAGGTTCAAGAATTACTTATTAAATAAGGCCAAGATTGTTATTTGTTTGATACTACTACTACAGTATTTTATAGTTATATTGTGTATATCTTGTGTCCTTTTATTTGATTCTCTTTGTTTCTTATGTATAATCAATTATGTTTGTTCTTTGTAGAAATGTGACTTAGAATGGAAGTACCTTTTAGTTTGTAGAAGACCTGAACCTGAAACCTAAAAATTCAAATGCAGGTTATTCATTTTCATTTTCTTTAGGGCATCTAGTAATTCTGGAGTTGAATCTCGGCCATTGTATTACTGAATGTTCTGTTATTTCTTCATGACTGTACTATCTATAGTTAGGGTAATTTTACAAGTCTGAACCTATATAGGTGTTTTAGTGTTGTATGTTTGGTTAGAATTCACGTGAGGCTACATCTAGTTTACTTTTATTTTATCTTGGCCATAGATCTTTTTTTTATTTTTTTTAGATCTTTTGATTTTCTTTAGATTAGTTTCGCAACTGTTTTGGTCCATTGTGTATCTGTGATTCAAGAATTATCACAAATGAAAGGAGAAACTAGTAATACAACAATAAGCCTCCAAACATAAACATGCTTGTATAGTGTGAAAACGGAAGTAGCAATTTTCCGTAAACCACTCCTAGAGCATGCTGAAACTTCCATGACTCGTGAGCTGGTCCAGAGAAACACTGAGCACTACAGAGGGAAGTTCTGCACACTGCTGTCACTCCCCAGAATTGGAGCAGGAGAGATTTTTTTGCCTGTCTATATAGGGTTAATATTACTGTATTAGTGAAATTTGAGGTTTCAGATTCACCTGTTAAATTGATAAGTACTACATATTGATTTGCTTGCCTGTACCTTATATCTTTGAAGTTCCTGCTGGTTTCCTTTTTCTGGAGATGTTTTGGGATGTGGATCTTCAGGCACTGTTTCTCATGGTCTTCTGTTTGATTGGGAATTGTCCATATTGTTTTTGCCAGGGTTTCCTCTGGATCTGGATTGAGCTGTGTTCATTAAATCATTTGTACATTGTACATTGCAATCAAAAATCTACAAGTTCTGATAGATGTTTACTGTGGAGACTAATCTGAATCGAGTGTGCTTAGATACTGGCAGTGAACCTCAAATCTTCATTGTGTTTGCAGATTCTGTGTTTAGTGTAAGCATTTCCAGTTATTATATCAAGCATGAGAACCCTCTTTTCCACAATTTACTTCATGTATATGTGGAATTCTCGATTTTTTTTTTTTTTTTTTTTTTTTTTTTTTTTTTTTTTTGCCCAGCATATCTGTTAACCTTTTTTTTTAGTGTTGCAAAATTGTCTTGGCTTTACTTATAAATTATTACATGTGTTTAAATCCTTTTTGAATTATAGTATAGTAGTAACCATAAGCTCTGCAAATCATATAACCAGCAGTCAGTCTACACAAATCTTCTTACCTAACCAGTTTTTAATCTTTTAAAAACATTCAGTAATCTTTGATACTGTGGAACAATTCCAGGAAACCTGCAGGCTGGAGAGCTTGGGTTTGCAGCTTTGCCGGGAAAAGAGATTAACTTCAGGGAATCCCTTGAACGATCGATACAGTATGCGAAGGCACTTGGCTGTGGCAAGTACGATTAACTTATTCTTTTAAATGCAACATCATTTCTATTATTGCTTACATAGATGTTTTTAGTTGGGGTATCTAACTTTTTAAAAGTTGAACATAAAAATATTTTGTTAGTTATCAAAATTCTTGTGACTGAGAGTAAATATTGAGAGAGAAAATTACATTGCACTGTTGCTTCTAAATCATAGTTCTGAGAAGACTGTTGCACAGATATAACTTTTAATAACAATTTGAAGCACCAACAAATTTATACAAAGTGATATTTTTGTTCCTTTTTACTTGCTTGTTTGGATACAGGAAAGGGGTTATTATATTATTGATCTATTGGAACAGGTTGCACATAATGTCTGGACGCAGGAGCAAAGATCATGATGAGAGAACGCACTTGGCTACCTTGGAAGCGAATTTAAATCATGCTGTAAGCCGGCTTTCTGCAGAGAATATTATTGGCTTAATTGAACCATTGAACCCTGTCTCTACACCTGGCTATTTTCTCAATAGTTTTGAGACTGGTAAGAATTCATTACATTGTAACAGTAAAGTGTTTACATTTAAACCTCATGAATTTTATGCAGACATCAGGTTCATAGTGTGTAGTTCTGGCATATTTCTACTGCTATTTTTAGAAATAAGATTAAACTAAAAACTAATAATCCTGCTACTCTCTCAAAATTTCTTTCCTCAAATATGTCTGCATTTAGTAACTTTTTATAAAAACATGTCTAGATATGATGAATACAAAAGGTCTTCTTTTCTGTAGCCCAGTCCTTGATAGAGAAGATCAACTCGCCCCATCTGAGGCTGCAGCTAGACATATTTCACATGCAGATGATATGTGGCAATGTCACAAACAACATCAAGAAGTTAATGCCAATTGTGGGTGAGTAAAGGGTTTTGAATAAACGTGGAATGCATGTGTGTGAACATGTGCATGGCACCCACACCCATGTAGACAACCTTAAACAAGATATATATGTGATATTTAAGCTTAGTTGCGATGTCTTTTAAAATCCCTTGGCTGTGCTAAGAATGTTTCTCTTTTTTAGAGTAGTGTAAAAAAAAATGTCCTGTAACATTATCTTCATCCAGATGGTTTGCTTGGAGGAAGAACACTGCTGGAAAGTTCAAAACATTATCAGTTTACAGCCATGGGCATAGCCATTCTTTTACATCTTCAATAACCCTGCTCTAAATCCAGCATAACTTCCCATGGTATAAATTTAAATATTATGATGAAGGCCAAATGAATTTGTCTATGTATACTGCAGCACACTATAACTTCATGTGACATATATGTTCAGGGTTTGGCTGAAGTTTCATCCTTAGTAATTTGGGTGGTATTGTATGCTGGGTAATTTTTCTTTGAAAAAGCTATCTCATTCACTGATAAATATATTAGAAAATGAACATGTTGAATGACTTTTCATACTATCTTCCTGCATGATTATTGAGGCATTGAGGCACTTGATGAACTTTGAGATTTTTTTTCTCATATTCATCAGAAATTCATATAACTCTTCCCTAGGATCCTAAATGTCCTGTTATGCCACTAGATAATTTCTTCACAGGCACACATGTGGCATGAAAAAGAAATTAATTATCTTGATATATTTGAGGTTAATTATGGCAATCATATATTTAATAATACTTCCAGATTAACACATAGATACAACTTGTTTACATCTTTCATATGCAGAGGAGTGAAGGGTGGAAATCATACACACAATAGAACTTCAATAATAAAATGTATTTAACATTACATTTCATATTTTATCCAATGTCAGTGTAACAAATCCTCTTTGATTAAATATAGAACAATTAGTAAACATAATATCCAACTATGAATAAAATGAACAAATACTTGAATGAGCAGCATTTGCTACAGCTCCTTGTCCTCTCTGCCAGGTCAGCTGTCTACTGTTTGCCTTACCTGGCATATACCTGCATACGCCAGCATTGCCATACGTAGCCTTAATGAATGTCAGTGGCTGCAAAGATGAACAATCATCAATAATACAGTAATATGATTATGTGATATATGAATGGTGATTATGGCAATGTATGTTGTTATTCTGTATAACTGTATAATAAGTTCATTGACAGAAAAGTCATACAGGAAGGCAGATAGCTTAACAGGCTCTCTTCTCAGTAATTACCACTTGTACACTATTTAGGATGAAGATCAATATTGCAATATTCTATGACATGCCATATGCATTATACCATACAAAGATAGAGTGCAGTATTCCAAACACTCTCCTTATCAAGATTTTTATCCAAGCACCTACAGTTAATGCTGACATGTGATGTGTATCACTGGAGTTATTGCATCAGGTCATTTAGTATTGGAGAAGTAAGTAATAATGACACACAATGAAATAAATGTACCAGACATCAAAGGTCATATAGCACTATGGTATTGTATTGTAGTGGGAGGGGTTTTTAAAGTTCTGTTAGAATTAAAATGTCATATTTCAATGGTTATATGTTATATGATAGTATAGTAGTTAAAGGAGTAGAAAGGGGTAGGAAGGGTTAAGGACAAAGGGTGGTTCGATCAAATGAAGGATATTTATGCGTCTGAGGAAGGAGAACACGTTATCAATAGAAAAGGTGGGGGGTTCTGTGAGGATGTTTGACAGGTTGGGGGGTCAGGGAAGAATGGATGTGTGAGGGAAAGTAAAGGTATGGGCTTCGGTAAAGCAGGGGCAGGATAGTAGATGTGGGATAGAAAGGAGGACATTGCATGTAGGGAATAGAGGTAGGTTAGAGGAGTGTGACAAGAGGTATGAGTGTGTGAGTCGGGTGTGGCCTATTCGTAAACGGGCCAGGGCAGTTTCCCTACATCTGTTCTGATAGTATGAAGCTGACTAAGGAGAGATTGAAGGTTTTATAGTTTGAAGTTCATTGGTGTTCAGACCTGACCAGAAAGATTGCCAACAGTTGTAGAGATACGTTGTAGAGCAAAGAGGATAGCATATAGTTCTATTGTAAGGACGCTCAATTCAGGTGGAAGAGGAAAGCTATATGTGTGAGAGGGAAAGACTACAGCAAAACCAGCACCTGAGGTGGGTTTAGAGCTGTCAGTATAGACATTAGTTGAGTACTGGAGGAGTGACCAAAGATATGTGCAAGAAAATGTGTGAGGAGGATAGAAGGGAGAATGTTTGACTTTGGTAGATCAGGGAAAATAGAGGAGCAATTACAAGAGGTAGGTATTAGCCAGGAAAGGAAAGTTTGGACAGAAAGAGGAAAAGTTCGGAGATGAGGAAAAGATGAACGGGAAAGTAGAGCATCCATACGAACAGGGAAAGGGTCAGGTAACCGTGGAGAGGAAGAGAATGTATGAAGGAGGGATTGAGGGACAGTTAGCTTGGAGAGAGAAAA